TAAAAGCTGCTTGTGATGGGCTTTGGTTCATCATGTGACTTTCTCATCACCACCTGCATTTGGTGGTTATCAGTGTATTACAAAGGTACAAAACAGATTTTAGTACTTCAATAGGTTGGTATATAATAAAATTTTATCAGTTAATGAAATTACGGTATTTGACTGTAAATTTAAGTTACAACCGTAAAACCTAAAACGTTGCTACCGTATTTTTTACGGTAAAATTCCGGCAACCACAGCTGCCGGTTTTCTACCGTAAATTTTACGGAATTTTTTTTACAGTGCATGTCTAGTCTAACACAATTCTGGAATAAATTTTTTTTTTTTAAATAAAAATATTTGTAAAATTGATAAATATATACATATTATTTTCCATTTTTCTGTAATTTCATATCTATTTACAATCTTCGTAGCCTTTGTCTAATCATTTAGACTCAGTAGTTATACACTAGTTCCACATGCTCATGTGAATTCAGATAATATTAGGTAATTTGTACTGAAACATTCATATTTCACATCATGTGATTGCTTGTTATAGCAATAGCAGTATATTAAAATCTCTGTTGTATTTAAATTGCTGTGCAGAAGACACTGTTTCTGTTTGCAACATTGTTTTCTAAATTAACGTACAAATAAAAACTCCCTTTTGTCTATTTTCATGGGGATTTTAATGACTTTCTTACTCATATGAGGAGATGAGTAGTACTTGAATTGTCAAACGTATGTAGTATTTACTATGAAGATTTATTTGTAGTTTGGGGTCACTAAGATTTTTATTTATTTATTGAAAGAAATTAACACTTTTATTCAGCTTGGGCACATTAAATTGATCAAAAGTGAGAGTTAAAAGACATTTATATTGTTACAAAAGATTTCATTTTCAAATAAATGCTGTTCTTTTGAACTTCTTATTCCTATATCCTAAATGTAGCACTATCTCCACAAAAAATATGAAGCAGCACAACTGTTTAGGAAATGTTTCTTGAGCATCAAATCAGCATATTAAAATGATTTCTGAAGGAACGTGACGCTGAAGACTGGAGTAATGATTTGATCACAGGAATAAATTGCATTTTAAAATATCAAAATAGAAAAAAAATGTAATTCATTTTTTTTTAAACTAAATACTGTTTTTACTGTATTTTTGATCAAATAATTGCAGCCTGGGTGTAAATAAGAAACTTTTTTTATTTTATAAATGTAATACATTTGAATGGTAGTGTATTCTATGCATCGACTATTATTTTTACTCCCCTTTGCAATTCCACCTTAAAATGCAGAGATAATAAAGGCAATAACATTCCATATGAAAAAACAATCAAAAGCAAGTCATACGAACGAGTCTTGTTCTGATGAGATTTATTTAAAAGACATTAACAGACTCAAAAAAAAAAAGTTCCATTAAAATACAACTCAAATAGCATCGTTAAACACAGTCAGTTTTACATGTTTTCTTTATACTACCTGTACATTAGACTTCACAATTGCAACTATTTTCAAATAACTTAAGTAACTTGTTTTTAAAAGTGCAAATCCATAATTCATACATGGGAATTCCAAGACGTGGGTACATGGGAAAGTTCACATTTCCATTGTGCAACGAGAGTGAGAAAGAAAGAATGAGTGAGTGAGTGAGCGAGCGAGTGATGAGTGAGTGAGTGTAGAAACGCAGTGTCTGACTATGATTTCTGCTCTGCTCCTGTGGAGGACTGAGGCGTGCTGTCCGGCTTTTCTATCTGATAAGTGATGAGATACTCTGGGTAGGCCTGGAAAACAACACCACCACCACACATTAACACACTAATACATCACAGACCGCAGTCTCTTTCATGTGCACTATTGGATGAGAACAAAACAAAACTTAAACTGAATCGAGCTGAATAATGACACTACTGTCTTCTGTAGAGCTGCTTCTTTCTAGCTGATCAAATTTGTTTCTAAGTGACAAATTTTGTAACATCAACACTGTTACTGAACTGAATTGAATCAACATTGAACTGACGCAAGTTGAATAACGACACTTATCTTTGTAGAGCTGCTTACACCTAAACTTGTTTAATAATTGATCAACTTCACACATTTATTGAACCAAATCTGAATCAACACTGAAGTGACTTAAAGGGTTAGTTCACCCAAAAATGAAAATTAGGCTGCGTTTTACTCACCCCTGAGGCATCCTAGGTGTATATGACTTTCTTCTTTCAGACGAATCCAGTCGGAGTTATATTAAAAATTGTCTTTGATCTTTCAACCGCACGTGTGCTAAGGTCATCTATTCATTGGACAGAAATTCTCAAGCAGGGAAACACAGGAAGTGCAAAAACAGGCTAATCATGGAGATCTTTCGTAGTGCAATTTTTATTCTTTTACTGATTTGGTGTTATCAGATACTAACGCAATATGAAGAAACTTATGAGCATCATATGAGACAATGTCAGACGATGTTGTAATTACGACTTGCCGAAAATAAAATCTATAGATATAAAATACTTAAAGCACATCACAATGTTAGTTGAAATATTTAACCTATATAAATGTGCGCTGTTAGGCGCATATCCAATCGTTTGTGCGGAGAGTGGAAGCTGAAGCGCGCTTCAGGACATCAGTGGAAACAAATTAAATACGCCGTCATTTTTGCTCATAAAG